GAGCGGGTGAGTCCACGCCCCCCGGAGACAGGGCAGCGGGGCAGCCACAGAATTGAATTCCGGGTTTGAGTGTAACGCCCTGAAACCAGCCCTTTCGGACGCCCGGGGTGCATCTCCCCTGCCCCCGTGGCTCGAAACAAGCGACACGATTCGAGCAATGCAAGTTGCGGGGCTTATTTCGAGTCAATTTCCAAAGAGCGTCTTTCGCCCTGGCTGCTCAGCGCCCCCGTTCGAAATAACCCGCTGCTCCGAAACGTCCCTTATTCCTCGCAACGTCGGAACAGCGCGCCCGTGAGTTTGGGCTGGGGTGCATCTCCCCTGCCCCCGTGGCTCGAAACAAGCGACACGATTCGAGCAATGCAAGTTGCGGGGCTTATTTCGAGTCAATTTCCAAAGAGCGTCTTTCGCCCTGGCTGCTCAGCGCCCCCGTTCGAAATAACCCGCTGCTCCGAAACGTCCCTTATTCCTCGCAACGTCGGAACAGCGCGCCCGTGAGTTTGGGCTGTCGAGACATGGAACCGCGATTTTGGGAGAAGGGAAGTAGCCCGAGAGAGCGCCGCAGTCCCCCCGCGTCTGTGGCCCAATGGAGGTTATGCCCCAGAGAAGCAGTGACGCCTAGTGGGCATGCGGATTAATAGCAAGGGTCTGTCTCCGGAGCTCCTTTAGCGTGCCCTGGCAAAGTCAGAATTGTGCGTTTGGTTTTGATGGGTGTGACGTAGTGGGGGGTACCTTGCTGGTTGCTACGCTAGGCAGTGGGTTGTGAGTGACCTCCACTGGCTGCAGCACGGCCCAGCAGGGCAGGAGATGAGTCATTATGCAAGGGGGCTTCGAAACTCATCAGACAGGTAACTCCCAGGGAGCGGGACAATGGGAAGAAGGGGAGTGGAGCCCTGGCTGGGGGCAGGGCTGGAAGTGAGGGAGTTAGTTTCTGTCTGGGAGCATGGAGGAGACAGCCTAGGGAAAGGGGCTGGGATTTAGGGGCCCAGTCTCCCCCATCTCAAGGGGGGCTGAGGCGTCCTAGGCCTGCCCTGTAACCAGATAACATCTGTGCTGGGCTGTATCCTGGAGAAGCAATAAACTCCCTCTGTTCTACTGGCTGGTGGAGTCTGTTCATCCCATTACAGGGGTGCAGGAGGTGGGGGAACCCCGATGCGGCGTCACATCGTGGGTTGTCCCCCCCATGGGGCAGGAGGACAAGAAAATTGTGGATCTCAGCCCATACAGGTTTGTGACTATCGGACAGGCCTGCACAAGAGCATCAGAACGGCCAGACTGGGTCAGACCAAAGGTCCATCTGGCCCAGTGTCCTGTCTGCCGACAGCGGCCAACACCAGGTGCCCTGGAGGGAGTGGACAGAACAGGGAACCATCAAGGGATCCCTCCCCTGTCACCCATTCCCAGCGTCTGGCAGAGGCAAGGGACATCCTCCCTGCCCAGCCTGGCAGTCAGAGGCTGGGAATGGGCGACCGAGTGTTAAAGACCTGGCCTTCACCACAGCCTCTGGCCTGATTGTAAGAAGGTGGAGCGGTACGAAGTTCCCGGCTTTATTCCCCAGGGCAGCAAGAAAAGACCACAAAGGCTACGTCTGCGCGGCCGCGCGGTATCCCAAAATGGCTAGGTCTTCTGAGGGCGCCCGCCGCTTCCAAAAAAAGGCGGCCTGTCGTCCCCGTAAGCCTCCCTGCACGAGGAGGGCGGGACGTTTCGGAGCAGGTCGTTGTCTCGAAATAAGCGATGCCGTTTGCATCACTCAAATGGCGTCGCTTATTTCGACCGGCGGCGCAGTGGCGACGCATCCAAAGTCACAGCTAGATAAAGCTAAGCAGATCAAGCCAGACCGGCTAGTCCACAGCCTAAAGACGGCCAGGGCTTCAGTTAAAGAATCGGGTGCACAGATACCATGGTGATGGGCATGGACAACTGTAAAACCAATGTTGTCACCTATTCTATTCTATTCTATTCTATCTTGGAGAAGAGAAGAGAAGAGAAGAGAAGAGAAGAGAAGAGAAGAGAAGAGAAGAGAAGAGAAGAGAAGAGAAGAGAAGAGAAGAGAAGAGACTTCTTTTTAAGAGCATCTTTGCTACAAGCAGTACCCCAAACTGTGGCTGCTTCACAGGATTAGCAGACCCAGAGTAGCAAAGGGAGAGAGAAACTGCAAGGAAGGGGACAGAGGGTTTCTAGCTGAGAATGGGTGTCAATGGAGAGGCTGTTTCCAGTGGCCGAGGAGAAAGCTCTTGCGCCCAGCTAGGGCGGACATATAGGAAGGGGGCTATTGCTGTGAGGGAACCACCCGCAATGCAGCAAAGACCAGACAGGCTCCATTAGCCGTCAGCAGTAGTGGGTTGTTATCCCCCAGGGGGCACAGCCGCTCATGGACAGACTAGTGCCCCGATCTGCAAAGGGCTGGGGCGGAGGTGCCCCACCTTTCCTGGCACAGCAGTTTCATGCCGCAGCGAGAGCTACGGGCCAGTCAATGCCCGGAGCTGTTGGAAGGGCCTTCTGGGGAGTGGGACAGGCGGGGCGGGGACCTGGCTCTCCTCTGCTGCAGCCGCTCGGCCTTGCTGTGCAGCTGGGCGACGGTGAGCAGCAGCGTGGTGATGTGCTCCTCGTAGCGCAGGATCGCCCCGGCCCAGCCCCACTCGCCCTGCAGTCGGTCCCCGGAAAACCCCCTGCATCTCAGGCCCCGTCTGTGCCAAAGGATCCGAGAGCCCGGGATAGCCCCGGGCCGTGATTCCTGGCGTGAAGTCGCTGACTCCAGGGCAAAGCGCACCTGCTCAGAATCAGCTGCATTTCCCAGCAGCAATGTAAATGACA